TCTGTCTGTCTGGTGAGCGCACTAAGAAAAAAAAAACAAAAAACAAAACAAAACAAAAAACTCTCAAAAAAAAAAAAAAAAAAGGATGAGTTATTATTATTATGTATAGCCTTAAGTATTTTATTTAATACTTGTCCCCCACATATCTAAGTGGAAACTATGGTGCTTTAAAGGTCAAGTATTGTAATTTACTCAGGACTGCTCAACGAGGAAGTTTGGGATTAGAATCCAAGTCTTCCTGGCCACGAAGACTGCGCACTACTGCATTTATCTGTGTTCTGAGTAGAGTGTCTGTAAAGCTGCATTTCAAATTTATTAAACTACAGTGCTGACCACGGCTACTATTCTATTAAACATGAGTTGTTTCGCACTGTTAAACTGAGTTGACTGAATGCCAAAGACACAGCAAAAAAACACTTGGGATTTTCCTTCCCTAGTTTTGACAGATTATCTCCAAAAAGATAAAGAAAATAGTTTCCAAAGCCTTATTTCTAATGTCCACTCCAAGGGAGGGCTCATACAGATGAAAAGGAAAGAAACAGCCAAACAGGCAAACAGGCTCCTGCCCAGTCCTGATACACACTTTGCTCTTCCTCAAAGCACGAGACTCCCTCTGGGCCCTCCAAAGCAGAAGAGAAGACAAGGATGCTGTTCTACTACGGCATCCAATTACTCTCAGGTAAGTTTCCTGGCAGCAGAAACACTGCTTCTAGGAAAGGGTAGTAACTGACAGATAATACTGGGTATCTATTGTGCTTCCGAGGCTTTCTCATTTCCACTCCCACAATCAAAGCCCATTTTCTATACCCTCGACACTACGTATACTTATATTTTAAATTCTGAACCAATGTATGGTTTTAAAAGTAAAATCACCTTTGAAAACTCAACATATGCTATTTGGTTGTACAGCATACATCAAAGTGCAAGCCAGAAGACAAAGGAAAAATTTACTGGGCTAAATCTACCTTTTCTACTCAAATGTTCAGCTTAAAATTCAGTTTGCTGGGTGATCTACGTAATTCCCTCTTTCAGCCCAATTCAAGAGATCTGAAGGTCTTTGGACATGGAGGGACCTTGTACAGCTCATGTGTTCCTAAGAAAACCTGGGTAATCTGTTACAGTTCCTTAAAAGGAACTCCACTTTTAAGACATGAGAGACTGGGCATTCCTACAAATCTATCAGTAGATGTCATCGAGTTTCACACTACTTTCCACGCTTTCAGAGGTGACACAGGAGCTTTACGGCTGCCAGGAAACTTTTCAGACAGACACCCCCGAGTCTGGAGTATGTGGTCCCATGCAACTACCTGCAAAGGAAAAGCAAAGCTAGTATGAGTGAGTTTTTGAGTGTGTTTTCTGTATTCCAAGTGCATCTTTGTTTTAAGGTTTTACTGTAGGACGCGTGTGCTTTCCAGAGAGAGAGGAAAAATAAGAAATCACCCCAGGGGAGATGAGCACTCTGCAATCTCTTCACTCATCTCTCAGAATCTTGGGCCACATGCACACATGCCCAGCATGATTTTCAAGCTGCTGGAGAATTGGCTTTGTGGGATCCAGCACCTTAACCACCATGCCATATGTTGGTCTGCAATTCAGTATTTTTATGTTTACTCTTTCTCTTTCACAAGTTAAAACATTTACTTTTACTTCTACGGCTTTCAATGCCTTACATGAAAATCACTTTCCTAACTACACTACAAGCAATACCTAACTTAACACTAAGAGAAGAACAAACAGTGCTTTGAGTCCATCACAGAAGTGAATGGAAAACCACCTGGCCTGCAAGCAGAAAACATGCTCTGTAAGGATCCTTCTACCTCCTCCTGTGCCACAAGGGACCCACTTCCTGCCTGCTACAAAAGCAGGTTGGAGATGAGCTAAAATAAGGAAGTGTTGACCTTGCGTTTGTACACTAAAAATTACTTGTAGTCTCTTTTCTACTCACTTATGTGGCTTTCTAAAGATTAAACAGAAGGGATGAAACAAAGCTTAAATAATTCCTTAACTTGTATGTAAGGAACCTGACTGCCATTCCCTTTTTGTAGCTATGAATCTAGTATAGTACCACTACCTTAATTAAGTGGGATGTAACCACTGACACTTTATTTTGACTGCAAAGCAAATAAGTAACTGTAATAGTCTTGTCCTATCCAGAGACTAAGGTTAAGGAGGAGGGGGCAGTAGGAGTATTCACAAAATCTTCAGGGGTCAGCAGGTGATACAGTGATTAAGGCACTGAACTTTCATGTGGCCGTATACGGTTTGAGTACCCAGACTAGGTGGCTTGACACCCACACCAGGCATATGTGCATGCATGTCCAAAATCCTGAAAGATTAGAGAAGGGATTGCTGCGTGGAGGTGGGGGATTTCTTGCTTTCTTTCAGTCTCTCTGGTGAACACAAGCACCCTATATTTAAAAAATCTCTTTAAAAAAAAAAGGCAAGACAACAACAGAACACTTGCTCTTCAAAGATGCTACTCTGTAAGAAATGCGCCGAGCTAAATAAACTGAAATGCTGTGTACTGAATGAATCCAGTTTAAGTCAACCTAGCAGGTACATGTGGCTAAACAGGTCCCTCATACGAAGCAAAACTACGTGAAAACATATGGAGAAAGTACCTTACTCTGCTCCTGGCTTTGGAGGCAGGGCCTATTCACCAATTCCTTAAGACCTATCCCTAAACTGTGAAGTCTCGCAAACCCGCCACACTGAGAAACACTACAGAACGCGCAACTGGGCCTGAACCCGGATCCCAACTCAAGGCCCAGCACTCCCTGGGCGCTTCTCTCCGCGGAGCCACGACCTGGGCGAGTGGCCGGAAGCCCGTCCGCGCCAGCACCCGGCATGCCGCCC